AAAAAGGTTAAATGATTTAATGGAGCTTGTAATTTTGATTTATAGAACGAAAATAAGGCACTTATTAGAGTAATGAAGACACTAAGTCAGCAAACATCACCACAACCACCACCACCACCGTATAAGGTATGCTGATAATGGCTGTTTGATGGATTAGTTAGGGTTATTTTTTTCTGATTACAACGGTGCTTTTGTGATTGATTTGATTTGAGGAGTCCGGTTGGTGGAATGCGGTCGCGAGAGTCGTTGTGATTTAAATGACCAAGAGTTCATACATAGAATTGAATTGGCGATTGACTGATTCGATTGAATGAACGAACTAGATTATACTGCAAATGCGTGAGTGAATTAATATTAAGCAACTAAAATAAGTATGATGGTAAAAACATAAAAAACATATATTTTCTTTAAGTTAGTTATGTGTTAACTAAACAATTTGACTTTTTTTTGTTGGCGCGTTAAAAACACGTCAGAAGTGCAATTGAAGTGTCAAAGTAGAGATTGCCGCGCAAGTAGCAAATGAACAAGACTCGCTTGTTTAGAAAAACTCCCCAGCCAACTGTGTGCCAAACAAATGCAAAAATTTTAAGTATGTAGTAGTTTAGGTTAGAAAATAAAATAGGCAGGGAGAAAAAAGGTATAGTTAGTAAGGGAAAAACTAAACAGGTATGGATTAAAAACAGTAAGACAAATATGTATGTAATAAAAAGAAGAATTAGAAGAATTAAAAATAATAATTCAAATCATACAACTAAAGCTCATGCTGTGATACAACTAAACCTAATGAATTTTAAAGTTAAGTATTGGACTTTAGACATCATCTTAAAACATTTTTTGTTAACAAATAAACCTTTTTTCGAACATACATACATAAAAGAGGCACATATCGTCGATGCCTTCGCAATGCCGCCCATAGACCAGTTGCAAAGCCGTCTACTCGCCTAAATAAACTCCGGGCATCGAGCTTCATGCATAAAAATCGTACAATCGGTCTCCTGTGAAATTTGAGTGCCGTAAGGAAGGCGCTTTTGCAACTGATAGATGGGCGATTTTGCGAAGGCATCGAGGCACAATGGGGCCGCTTCATAGAGGGCGATGCTCGAAAGTCATTTTTCGAAAGTTGGCATTTATGAAAAAAATATATACAACAAAGTACCAAATCTCGTGTATAAACAATGGGTTCCTAACTACTACAAGTTGCCGCCCACAACAGCTTAAATTTAACTTTTCAGTCAGCATTTTTTTCGATATCGAAAGCGAGTTCAGGTGTGTTATTAAAGGGTGTTTTATAATGTTTAGGGTTGTTAGTAATTTAGAACGAACTATGCTGTTGAAGAAGCAATGTGTGTTGATTGTTTTACAACATTTCATGATTACATAATTTCATTTGTTTTCGAGATATAAGGAATAACTTGTAGTAAACTAGTTTTATTCATGGCAAGGTTCTAGCTCGGAATCTTTTTTAGTTATAACCGCAAGACTTTACATATTAGTAAGCTTATAAGATTTTTGAGAAAAATATGTTTTAATATGAACTTATTAATTTTTGCCGGGCACAGTCTTTCGTTATTTTATGAAAAATATGTACCACGTGGAGGTGTTTTTTAAAAAAATTCCAACTGAATGGAAGAGAATAGTAAATACCGTCTGTGATTATTCTTTATTGCAATTCTGATAACTTTTATTCCAGACGGCACCCATTTATCTATTAAAAATCAGGATTTTTGTAAAATTTGTATTTTAAAAGTCTCTCTAAATTATTGCAAAGCAAGTTCAGCCATGTAGAATAATAGATTTCAAACCTAACCAGCTGTCTCGCCTCGAAAAAAAAAGAAGCTGCAACAATCCTTTGGGCAATTTCAAGAGTTACGTTACTTACAGAAACAATTCCTGAATGGGACATGTACGATAGACACAAAACCGATTTTATGAATCCAACAAAGTCTGGTAAGAATAACTTGCAAACAATATCCAGTGGATTTAAAATAGATAACATAAAATCCAAGACGCTATGTCTTGATACTGCGAAACTGGCATCCAATGACAGCAACAGAGGGCAAAATTTTAATTCATGGTGCCGAAATTGTATTGAATTTCCTTCTACCGATTGAGCGATTAAGTGAAGAGGCACAGGAATCGCGTAACAAAAATTTTAAGGCATATCGAGAATGTTTTAGCCGCAAAACTTTAAGGTAAGCTGAACTTAAAGATGTATTTCACCGTCTAATTGTTTCTTCCGATTATCTTATTACAAAATTATGGTATTTACAAACAAACAAAAAATCATTTAATCCAGAAGTGAAAGACATGCTTTAAGAAGAGAATTTCGAGCATACTCAAAGTGAATCTGAGTCTTCTTCTTCTTCTTTTTTGGCGCTGTAACCGCCTAAGCGATTTTGGCCGAGTTCAGCAAAGCACGCCAGTCGTTTCTCCTCTGTGCCAACTGACGCCAATTGGAAACGCCAAGTGAAGCCAAGTCCTTCTCCACCTGATCTTTCCATCGCAGTGGGGGTCTCCCTCTTCCTCTGCTACCACCAGCGGGTTCCGAGTTGAATACTTTCAGAGCTGGAGCGTCGGTGTCCATTCGAACGACATGACCAAGCCAGCGGAGCCGCTGTATTTTAATTCGCTGCACTATGTCCATATCGTTGTAAAGCTCATACAGCTCATCGTTCCATCGTCTGCGGTACTCGCCGTCGCCAACGCGTAAAGGACCGTAAATCTTCCGCAAAATCTTTCTCTCAAACACCCCAAGAGCCGCCTCATCGGATGTTGTCATTGTCCATGCTTCTGCGCCATATACCAGCACGGGCATGATGAGTGACTTATAGAGCGTGGTTTTCGTACGTCGAGAGAGGACTTTACTCCTGAATTGCCTACTCAGTCCAAAGTAGCACTTGTTGGCAAGAGTGATTCTACGTTGGATTTCAATGCTGACATTATTATCGGTGTTAATGCTGGTTCCCAAGTAAACGAAATTCTCTACTTTCTCGAAATTGTAACTGTCAACAGTGACGTGGGAGCCAAGGCGCGAATGTGCTGACTGTTTGTTTGATGACAGGAGATACTTCGTCTTGTCCTCGTTTACCACCAGACCCATGCGCTTTGCTTCCCTATCCAACTTGGAAAAGGCAGAACAGACTTCGCGGTTTTTGTTACCGATGATGTCGATGTCATCGGCATAAGCCAGCAATTGCACGCTCTTGTAGTAAATTGTTCCTGAGCGGTTCAGTTCTGCAGCTCTTATTATCTTCTCCAACATCAGATTAAAGAAGTCACATGAAAGGGAGTCGCCCTGTCTGAAACCCCGTTTTGTGGCGAACGGCTCGGAGAGGTCTTTTCCAATTCTGACGGAGCTGGTGGTATTGCTCAACGTCATTTTACACAGCCGTATGAGTTTTGAGGGGATGCCAAATTCAGACATAGCGGCGTATAGGCAACTCCTTTTAGTGCTGTCAAAAGCGGCTTTAAAGTCGACAAATAGGTGGTGAGTGTCGATCCTTTTCTCGCGGGTCTTTTCCAAGATTTGGCGTATAGTGAATACCTGGTCTATGGTGGATTTGCCAGGTCTAAAGCCACACTGATAAGGCCCAATCAGTTCATTGACGGTGGGCTTCAGTCTTTCACACAATACGCTCGATAAGACCTTGTAACCTATGCTTAGAAGGCTGATCCCGCGGTAGTTGGCGCGAATGGCGGGGTCATCTTTCTTGTGGATTGGGCAGAGCACACTTAAATTCCAGTCGTCGGGCATGCGTTCATCTGACCATATTCTGCACAAGAGTTGATGCATGCACCTTATCAACTCCTCGCCGCCGTACTTGAATAGCTCAGCTGGCAGGCTGTCAGCTCCAGCGGCTTTGTTGTTTTTCAGCCGCGTTATTGCTATACGTACCTCGTCATAGTCAGGCGGTGGAACGTCGACTCCGTCATCATCGACTGCAGGCTCGGGTTCTTCTTCTCCACAACTTTCCGTGCTGCTACCATTTAGTAGGGCGGAAAAGTGTTCCCTCCATAATTTAAGTACGCTCTGGACATCAGTTACTAGGTCGCCATTATTGTTCTTACAGGAGTGCGCCCCGGTCTTTAAACCTTCCGTAAGTCGCCTAACTCTCTGGTAAAATTTTCGGGCATTCCTCCTGTCGGCCAGCATTTCAAGCTCTTCGCACTCACGTATTTCTGCCTCTCTCTTCTTGTTGCGGCAAATACGTCTCGCTTCCCTCTTCAGATCCCTATAGCGGTCCCACATAGCGCGCGTTGCGCCCGATCGCAGCGTGGCCCTGTAGGCGGCATCTTTTTTCTCTGCAGCTTCCTGACACTCCTCATCGTACCAGTTGTTCTTTCGGGCTCGCTGAAATCCGACTGCTTCTTCGGCGGCGGTACTTAATGAGCGGGAAATGTGGTTCCACTGCTCGCATATGTCGGTTTGTTGAAGAGTGCTCTCTGAGAGCAGGTGTGAGAGTCGAGTAGCGAAAGCGCTGGCTGTCTGTTGTGATTGCAGCTTTTCGACGTTAAGCTTTCCTTGCATATTTGGGCGCACATTTTTTGCTGCACAGAGGCGGGTGCGTATCTTGGCTGCAACAAGATAGTGGTCCGAGTCGATGTTTGGGCCTCGGAGTGTGCGTACGTCTAAAACACTGGAAGCGTGCCTTCCGTCTATCACAACATGATCGATTTGGTTTCTCGTTTTTCGATCCGGAGACAGCCAGGTAGCTTGATGGATCTTTTTATGCTTGAACCTAGTACTGCATACTACCATGTTTCGGGCCCCGGCGAAGTCGATCAGCCTCAATCCGTTGTCGGACGTTTCGTCGTGGAGGCTGAATTTTCCGACGGTGGTTCCAAAGATCCCTTCTTTGCCCACCCTGGCATTGAAGTCGCCAAGCACGATTTTGATATCATGACGGGGGCAGCGCTCGTACGTGCGCTCCAAGCGCTCATAGAAGAGATCCTTGGATGCCTCATCCTTCTCTTCCGTCGGGGCATGGGCGCAGATGAGCGAGATGTTGAAGAATCTCGCTTTGATGCGGATTGTGGCTAGACGCTCGTCCACCGGGGTGAACGACAGTACTCGGCGACGGAGTCTCTCTCCCACCACAAATCCAACTCCGAATTTGCGCTCCTTTACATGGCAGCTGTAGTAGACGTCGCAAGGCCCCAGACATTGTTTGCCTTGCCCCGTCCAACGCATTTCTTGGATGGCGGTGATGTCAGCTTTTGTCCTTACGAGGACATCAACCAGCCGGGCAGAGGCACCTTCCCCATTAAGGGTCCGGACATTCCAGGTGCATGCCCTCAAATCGTAGTCCTTTAAACATTTGCCGTGGTCGTCATCATAAGGGGGGGTCTCATCCGAGGCTTTGCCTTGCTTCTTCACTGGAAGTGGTTTTTACGTGGCGGGTCCCAAGCCCAGCGCACAACCCATTGCTGGGACGGGGGTGGTTTCGCAACCAAATACACGTTTATATAGCGAGCCGCTTGCTCCAAGCAGACACCCGCTTGCAGCCGCACCTACTGGTGAACAGACGCTGCAGACTTCAGTGAGCCCTTAAACCGAATAAGTCAGAGTGGCCCCACCGAAGCTCCCTCTCTTTCTGCCGTGGCCCAAGGCTCCACTCGGATTGGTTACCGCATCTCGCACATGGGTTGCTCACGTTGCCCAGAGTGCGCGAACGAGGACGCAAGAGTCGGGATTGAGTATAGCCATGCAACTGTAACTGCATACCCAGCGCAATGACTATACCCCATTGCACTCCAA